AAAAAAAAATTTTTTTTTTTTTTTTTTTTCCAGATCTGTATCAGAGGATGTAGGAATGGACATCCCCTTTGATGAGGGCTTGATAAGCCCCAATGGTACAGAGATGAGACCTGGTAAGGAAGGCTTTATTCATTTAAAATAAAATATTTCTCACTCCAATAGCATATAATTATGCAGTGGGAAGGCTATCTGGGCTGGGAAGGCATCATTGCAGTGTTAAAAAGAGTGTTAAGTGTGCTTTATTTAGTTAATTCTATACTTCACTTGACAAATGATAATTTATAGTGTGCTGCATATTTTCTCTTGTGCCCTGGTGTTATCTGTCTATTAAAACATTTTGTTCTTGTGACAAGTACTTTGCTTTCTTCACACTATATTTGACTTCAGTCTGCTGAAGTTTATATATAAAAATACACAAGTCCAAACAAAGCAGCTTCAAATATTCATGTGAAATTTAGTGGCAAGAAACCATACTAAAGATGTATATTAGCTCAGAACTCCTTTATTTGCAGCCAGCTAAGAAGAGGAAAGGCATGGTCATATTTATTTGGTACAGAGTGATATTACATAGTCAGGTAGAGCACATAATGGCATACTTGCAATATGACTACCAGAAGAATGACAGCAAACACTCAATACAACAGTTTCTCTGAGGTGTATCTTGTATTTGCATTTTTCCTGATTTCAAAAGGTCACTGGGTTCACAACTGAAGTGATATGGGTGATCATCAAAGTCCTCAAAGTCTGCTGAGGTTTAAAAGCATGTCTGAACTTTCCCATATGTTAACCCATATTTTATAATAATTAGAAGAAGCACATCCCAAGCTAAATTTTATAAAATGATAAAGGATCTCAGTAGAAAATGGATTTCAGATCCAAACTTTTGGATTCATGCCTGTCTTCAAAGAAGATAAATTCTTGTTGATTGGCTGGTCTATCTGCAAGGTGTTGTCCATCTGGGACTGGGGTGAGGGGTTAGGGGGCTAAAAATAGCCCAGTGCCAGGGGGTTGGGTAAGAAAAGCACAGTCCTGGGGCTAGGGCCAATGGCTGGGCTTTCCCAACCCCCTAGGATAAGCTGGGAACTGTACAGACAATCAGTTATATCAGTCTTGCTGGACCTGATCTAAGTTAGACTACATCTGGCGTAGGGTTAACTTAGATCAGGTGGGCTATTTTTGGACTGAACTATATTTCCTGAACTTCTGTACAGTTCACACTTGGATCCACCTAACTAGGGATCTAAGAGTAGGGTCTGCACTTCAGCCAAATAAACTAGATTGAATGGCCATTTTTAATGTAATCTAACCTCCCTCATCCTCCCTCAATGTTTGCATGTACCCAGTATGCGGTAACTGTTGTCCTTTTTTAAATATAGCAATATTTTGGTAAACATTTGCAACTGATATTATAGGACCACATTCTATATCAATTTTAACATTATTATTGTCAGATAAAAATCAATCCCACTGTTCAAAGTGTTTAAAAATATTCAAAGGCATACAGTGGAAGAGTTTTAAATACTGGATATATTATTCTTTTTCTTCATATATAGAGCCTCCTAATTCTCTGGACCTCAATGGCTCCCATTCCAGAAGGATAAAGCTTATAGCTCCAAATATCAACCTTTCCTTGGACCAGAGTGAAGGGTCTATCCTTTCTGATGATAATTTGGATACGCCAGATGAAATTGATATTAATGTAGATGACCTTGACACTCCAGATGAAGCAGATTCTTTTGAATACCCTGGACAAGGTAATGAACTAGTCTGTATAAGTAAAGGACAGTGTGCATAAACAAAGTATAGTTTTTCCTCATTAAATCAGAGTGGGCTAAGATCTGTCTGTCAGTGTTTAGGGCTGTGTAGATCAGTGTAA